GTCTTTGCTCCAACAGAAGAACTCCAATTTTGAAAGTGTTATGTCCAGGAAATTTGCTGCAGTAGGGTATCGATTCCCCCTCATCCGGGTTCTAGCCAGTTAAACAAATAGGTGGAGAAAAAAAAACTGCTCGAGAGACTGGGGATACATAAGCCACCAACAGACTTTCAGGATGTGTGCCTCAAGACTTTCTGCGAAGCTAGGCCTACGCTACAACTGGAGGATTTCAATGTTGAAGGTTTTACACGCAGGCAATTTGCTGTGCGTAGGGGTTTTCATGATGAGAGCTGGCTTTCGTTCCCCTTTCTCAGGCTCGTTGAAGTTTAGTTGTCCTGAAAGACTGGTCTAGATGTCGCCAATTTTTTTGAATGAGCTTGCAAACACGGTATGGATGTGTTTCGGTGATGCGCAAAAGTTACGTTCTTGTGAAGTCAAGCGCAATGCGATTGCCACATTCAGAGATGTCAATGTCCCCAGGAGCGTTCGTGGTATGCTTCCTTCCATTTGATGCCCGGGGGATGATTTGAAATGACCACTGGCAGGCAGGTTCCTTGGTGGATGAGATACAATCCCACGCAGCCCGTCTCACACAGATTTGTCTAAAACTCGTGGTTTATATCATGGTGTACAATAATGTTCAAATATCGTTCAAATCAGACTTATTTGGATCAATTTGAACCATTTCGGGTAAATCAGGAGTAGAGACATCAAAGAATGTGTATCATGCAACAATTTTTGGCGGAGTCAACAATTACGCGGTTGCCACATTCAGAGATGTCAACGCAGAATCACCGATGTGCTTCTGCCCAGGAGCGTTCGTGGTATGCTTCCCTCTGTCTGATGCGCTTGATGTCCAGATTCCGCTCCAGGCACGGTGAGGTTTCCAGTCAGAAAGGAGCTGAAATTTGTGGATAACGAATTCCGTCGAGCATATCTTCACCCAGTTGACAAGTTTTGGCAATCTACTCGTAGCCAGTTTCATTGAAGTTTGGTCAAGTTGCAGTTTGGCATCATAATAAGGGTGCAACTTCTCCAAACTTAAGACAACTAATTCGAAACAAGACAAAAATGGACTCCTGTCAGATGCTCCCAATGCATTGGGGTCCGGATATGTTGAACTCTCGAGGCACTTCGTGGGTGCCTACTTGGATTGGGATGCCGTGCGAGCCTGCTGGCGCACCCTCTCCAGAGTTTTCCAGAGCCTGTGAATTTGTGTGTGTGTGTGCGAGTGACCTGGTACTGTTCATCCAGCTGAAAAAACGGTTGTTTTTAACCCATGTATGTATGTATGATCATGTACATAATATGTTCATACTTTAGGTACAATATGATTATGTATGAATGACATATACACATGTATTTCACCAGCTTTCAAGGCAAGGATGAACCTGTGAGTTTGGCTGGAATAATCTTAGCTTTGCCTCGTCCCTTTTGGAACGGCAGTGGGCTTCAAGTGGGTGCTCTGGGCATCGCTAAGTCCTGGTTCGGCATTGCCAAAGTGCAGATGCACAGGATCCAGAAACTTCGTATGGGGGTCAAAAACGGAAGAAGTTCAGCTGTTTCGGAGCGGTCAGGACATTGAATGGTTTGAAACGATTTGTGCCTTTTAGCACCTTGCAATACTCCATGCTAAGGTTCTAGTTTGAATGAAGTTGTGGCATTTGTAACATGGGTTTTCAAATGTTTTCAACATGGTTACAGGTTTCATAACCTAGGGTACAACCTAGGTTGCGAAAGTTACAACTTGATGTTAGTAACTTCAAGTTGTAACTTATTTATGCTTGCAAGGTGCAACGTCCATCACTTCAAAAAGTGTTGAAACCGTAACTTCAAGTTGTCATATTGTTTGCACAAGTTTGCTTATTTGGAGCGCCGTCTGCTTTAACATGCGCACTAGGAAATGTTATTTATTTGAGCGGAGGACCCGTTGTGGTTTGATGGAGCTTCGAAGAGCACTTCTCTGATGGCATGTTGATTTTTCTTTTAGCAGGTCATTAAGTCGTTCTAAAATCTTGGAGCGGTACACCCGCTATACGCAATTCTTTCAAAACGTATGATCTACATGTAATTCTTGCCTGCAATCATAGGCTGAAAATGGTTTTCAAAGGGAAAGCACTGTATACCCGCGTTTACCGATCGTATACCAACCGCATATTCACCATACCAATACCCAATATATTTATATATATATACAAAGTAAAGTAGACAGCTATACGAAGAAAAAAACACTTACAGTATACCAAATGGTTTACCGAAAGACAGGGAGGCCCGTATACCAGCGTAAACCAAGCATATACCAAACAAATTCGAAGTAACATCTCAACCCTCTCTTTTTTGAACCAGTTGATTAAAATTAATATAGCGAAGTTTGGGGCTCAAACAAAAAAGGAGGGAAGTGCCAAGTTTAGGGTAAAGCCACTGGTATGCTCACATTTCTTGATCTTAAAATGAGTTGGATGACACATCACTTTGGACCAGCTCAAGGAGGAGATGAAAAAAGGCTTGTTCAAACATGCAGAGTAGAAATCACGGCTCGGTTCGCAGAGATGATCGGTTCGTTTCGTTTCGCTTCGTTTCCGTTGCACAGACGGTTTCTGACTTCAGTGAGTTTGCTTGATGAAGAGTTTACTTTATGTTGGAGAGCTTGCGGTTCAGGAGGATTGGAAAGGATAGTTGGTAGATAGGTAGATAGATATAGATAGATAGATAGGTAGGTGGATAGACAGATAGATAGATAGATAGATAGATAGGTAGATAGACAGACAGATAGATAGATAGATAGATAGGTAGATAGACAGACAGACAGATAGATAGATAGGTAGGTAGACAGACAGACAGACAGACAGATAGATAGATAGGTAGATAGACAGACAGACAGACAGACAGATAGATAGATAGGTAGATAGACAGACAGATAGATAGATAGGTAGGTAGACAGACAGACAGATAGATAGATAGGATTAGATTAGATTAGATTAGATTAGGTAAGGTAAGTTAAGGTAAGAGAAGATAAATAGAGTAGATTTGATTAGATGGGATGAGATCAGATCAGATTAGATTAGATTAGACAGATTAGATTAGATCAGATTAGATTAGATAGATAGATAGATAAGATAGATGGATAGATAGATTAGATAGATAAGATAGATAGATAGATAGATAGATAGATTCGATTCGATTCGATTCGATTCGATTAGATTAGATTAGATTAGATTAGATTAGATAAGTAAGGTAAGATAAGATAAGATAGATAGATTAGATTAGATAAGATTAGGTTAGATTAGATGAGCTAGGATAGATAGATTGGATATGATTGGATCAGATAAGATAGATAGATAGATAGATAGACAGATAGTGTCCGGGACAAAATTTCTGACAAAATTTCTGGCATTCGTTGAATGATGAAGGAAGACGGGAGAGAAGTCGATGAGACGGCGGAGCATCGGACAGTAAAATAACAAGGTGGAAAGACCCCCCAATGCGTACCCAACTTTCGCTACACAATACTGCATGGATCTGCATGTTGTAAATCGAAATTCTTCAGGTGGTCAGGAACAATGACAAAAAACACTTTACACTCTTGTTCTTGGGGCCTTTTGGGCATTTTTCCCGAATTTGGTCAATTCTATAGAGCAGATGCCCTGTTTGGTTCTGTATTTTGCGGAGGGCCCATGCCACCTGCCACCCAAACTAATTTCCATAATTTGCTACATTAGCACGAACGTTGACAAACGATGGCAATGCATGACAAGCACGCGACAAACGGATGAAACACGGAAGCACGTGACAGACACTGCATGATAAACCGTGGCAAAACCAGGAATAAACTTCAATTTTTATTATCCGTAGCCGTTTTAGGACAGCAAAAACTTCTTTGCAATGGCAGCAGTTGAAACAGTGTGCTCCCGATGCCAGGGTAAGGGACATCGTGCTGCTGATTGTCACCTACCCTTCTTCCGTAGCTGTGAGTACTGCAAGACTGCAGGTCACACGGCTAAGGAGTGTCCGCTGTTGAGATCATGTACTTACTAAGTACATTGTCGCAACAGCGGACACTCCTTAGCCGTGGTACTTGCTGCAAATGCGATTTTCACACAAATCGCAACTGTCCCAAACTACTGGCAAAAAGAGCCAAGGCACGAGCGTCAGATGATTCAAAGAGTGAGGCGGCTTCTGAGGCCAGCAGTGGTCAGTCTGTGAGCACAGCTTCAACATGGGCATCATCACCTCCCAAGAAGCATTGGAAGCAATGGACTGAACCACAGAAACGTTGGATGCAAGCCTTGACTGAAGATGAAGAAAAACAGGCACGCAAAGTCGAGAAGAAGCTGCGCGAGATTGCAGCTCTGGAAGCTCGGCTTGCTGAAGGGGAAACTTTGGAGGACTTGCAGCAGAAGAAGGTTGACAAGAAGTCAGAGTTTGAGGACTGTGAGGTCATGCGCAAGTTGCGCTCTGGCTATAGACGATGTGAGCTACCAGCCAAGAGCCTGATTGAGGCAAAGTAACGCCCAGGTGTGTCCAGGCGTGTCAGATATGAGCTAAGAAACGTAGATGCATAATGATGCAAAGTTTGTAGATATTTATAGATGATAGATGTTTATAGTTGCTTTCACCCGAGGCCCTTGCAGCATCCTTTGTGCAGTGTACAGATGCAGTCTGGAGTTAGCTAGCTCATGACTTGCCTTGATCACTTTGCATTCAGTAGATCTTCCCACTTTGCAAGTTGAGTCTGGACTTGTGTACAGCAAACAAGCGTGGAACACGACTAGGAGAATAGACATTTAGAATCATTTCGATTCTTTGGATTTGCTTTTGTATGGAACAAAAAGGAAACGCGCGCACAAGTCTGAAACGGACCCATGGAGACTCATGCAGTTGCAACTTCACGTGAGGAACCGATTCAGTTTCAAACCAGTTGAACCCTGCGTAGCTGCCTGTCACTAGGAGAAATTGCAGTGAGCATTTGGACTGGTGTTGGCAAATTGGAAAGCATATCAACTTGCCAATGAATCACTAAAAACAGTGCAGTGCCGTGAATTAAGTTGCCACAGCTGGTGGTTTCTCAACTTTCCACAGGTCTGTTTTATTTTTGTGGTGCCTCATTCTTAAGTACGCATGATCACTTCATCACGTGTCAATGATTTTAGGGTTTCTGCGATGAGCATTCAGCATTCTGGCTCAGGCTCAGTTCGTACTTCGTCTTTAGGATATCACTTCTCTGCAATGGCAGCAGTTGAAACAGTGTGCTCTCGATGCCAGGGTAAGGGACATCGTGCTGCTGATTGTCACCTACCCTTCTTCCGCAGTTGTCAGTACTGCAAGACTCCGGGTCACACTGCCAAGGAGTGTCCGCTCTTGCGACACTGTACTTACTGCAAATGCGAGGGTCATACCAATCGCAACTGCGCCAAGCTACTGGCGAAAAGAGCCAAGGCACGAGCGTCAGATGACTCAAAGAGTGAGACTTCCGAGGCCAGCAATGGTCAGTCTGGTGTGAGCACAGCTTCAACATGGGCATCATCACCTCCCAAGAAGCATTGGAAGCAATGGACTGAACCACAGAAACGTTGGATGCAAGCCTTGACTGAAGATGAAGAAAAACAGGCACGCAAAGTCGAGAAGAAGCTGCGCGAGATTGCAGCTCTGGAAGCTCGGCTTGCTGAAGGGGAAACTTTGGAGGACTTGCAGCAGAAGAAGGTTGACAAGAAGTCAGAGTTTGAGGATTGTGAGGTCATGCGCAAGTTGCGCTCTGGCTATAGACGATGTGAGCTACCAGCCAAGAGCCTGATGAGGCAAAGTAACGCCCAGGTGTGTCCAGGCGTGTCAGATATGAGCTAAGAAACGTAGATGCATAATGATGCAAAGTTTGTAGATATTTATAGATGATAGATGTTTATAGTTGCTTTCACCCGAGGCCCTTGCAGCATCCTTTGTGCAGTGTACAGATGCAGTCTGGAGTTAGCTAGCTCATGACTTGCCTTGATCACTTTGCATTCAGTAGATCTTCCCACTTTGCAAGTTGAGTCTGGACTTGTGTACAGCAAACAAGGAACACGACTAGGAGACTAGACATTTAGAATCATTTCGATTCTTTGGATTTGCTTTTGTATGGAACAAAAGGAAACGCGCGCACAAGTCTGAAACGGACCCATGGCGACTCATGCAGTTGCAACTTCACGTGAGGAACCGATTCAGTTTCAAACCAGTTGAACCCTGCGTAGCTGCCTGTCACTAGGAGAAATTGCAGTGAGCATTTGGACTGGTGTTGGCAAATTGGAAAGCATATCAACTTGCCAATGAATCACTAAAAACAGTGCAGTGCCGTGAAGTAAGTTGCCACAGCTGGTGGTTTCTCAACTTTCCACAGGTCTGTTTTATTTTTGTGGTGCCTCATTCTTAAGTACGCATGATCACTTCATCACGTGTCAATGATTTTAGGGTTTCTGCGATGAGCATTCAGCATTCTGGCTCAGGCTCAGTTCGTACTTCGTCTTTAGGATATCACTTCTCTGCAATGGCAGCAGTTGAAACAGTGTGCTCTCGATGCCAGGGTAAGGGACATCGTGCTGCTGATTGTCACCTACCCTTCTTCCGCAGTTGTCAGTACTGCAAGACTCCGGGTCACACTGCCAAGGAGTGTCCGCTCTTGCGACACTGTACTTACTGCAAATGCGAGGGTCATACCAATCGCAACTGCGCCAAGCTACTGGCGAAAAGAGCCAAGGCACGAGCGTCAGAGGATTCAAAGAGTGAGGCGGCTTCTGAGGCCAGCAGTGGTCAGTCTGTGAGCACAGCTTCAACATGGGCATCATCACCTCCCAAGAAGCATTGGAAGCAATGGACTGAACCACAGAAACGTTGGATGCAAGCCTTGACTGAAGATGAAGAAAAACAGGCACGCAAAGTCGAGAAGAAGCTGCGCGAGATTGCAGCTCTGGAAGCTCGGCTTGCTGAAGGGGAAACTTTGGAGGACTTGCAGCAGAAGAAGGTTGACAAGAAGTCAGAGTTTGAGGACTGTGAGGTCATGCGCAAGTTGCGCTCTGGCTATACACGATGTGAGCTACCAGCCAAAAGCCTGATTGAGGCCGGGTGCCCCCGAAACTCCTTGTTTCCAGGCTGCTTGTCCTGATATGTTGGTTGCTATTTGGTACCCAGTGGTTCGGAGGCTGCACGAACTTCTCTTCTCTAGCCCGAGTAATTACACCCTTTTGGATTGACTTGTATTCTTTAGATTTCTATAGAATTCTATAGATGGTTTTTAGATTTCTATAGGCTAATAATCCCCTACAAATCACCTGTTCCCACCACCCGTTGTGCACAGGAACCCTCCAAGAAGGCGGAAGCATCCGAGACCGTGGCGGCTGCGCCGAAATCGGCCCGCCATTCCAAGAAAGTCTTGGCCTCAGCCCAACGGAGAGTATGAGCATGTTTCCTTGTCGAACCGAGAGAAAAACCAAGCGGTCCGTTCAGATGATGGTCACGTCGGTCATGTGTTAATTGTTCTTGGTCCACTGAGTCTATTGAGTCTACTGTCAGTTTTAGTTGGGCAACATATTCAAAGAGATCACCGTCGACCGGAATTTCTAGAAGACTTTCATGCCTATGCTGATCTTGTCTGTTTGCAGCCAATAACCTTCCGTGCTTCAATTCTTGTGGTCACTTTCAAATCACCATTCAATGGTCAGTTTCAGTTTTGCAACGAACCCTGCAGAGCTGGACCATTGAGGATGCTTGCGACTTTCTGGCAATGTTGCCTGGCCAGCCCCTGGCATCTGGGGTGGATGCCTCAAGAACAATGACTTTTGGGAGAGATAAAGAGAACAAGGAACTATTGTGAACAGGATTTACTAATACTTCCTATCTGATGTATCAACAGCTTCTATCATTTTCATTCATTTTCTATGATTTACTATCATTTACAGTACTGTTTAGTGTTGGTGACAGCCGTCTCACTTTAGGTCGTGAAGCAGGCGCAGTCCGCATCGGACGCGTCGAACGTGCCTCAGCTTCCTGGCCGACTTCCAGCGAGAAAGGCGTCGGCGACGGTGAGTGGAAAACATACAGAAAAAAGAACAAGGTATGGACAATATGGACTAGTTGACTAGTATTTATGAAGTCTGGATATATGGATAAAACTACCAGTACCGCGCAAGGCGATGGCGGTGGCAGAGGTTGTGAATCACGGATGGCAGAGCAAAGCCACTGATGGACCGAAAGGTCTACCTATCTACCTATCTATCTATCCATCTGTCTATGTATCTATCTTTCTTTCTTTCTTTCTATCTATCTATCCATCCATCCATCCACCCATCCATCTATCTATCTATATCTGTCTATGTATCTATCTATCTATCCATCCATCCATCCATCTATCTATCTATCTATCTATGTATCTATCTATCGATCGATCTATCTATCTATCTATCTCTCTCTCTCTCTATCTATCTATCTATCTATCTTTCTATCTATCTATCTATCTATCTCTCTATCCATCAGTCTATCTACCTACCTAATCTATCTATCTATCTATCTATCTGTCTGTTTTTATGTTTAACTGCAAGCTTGAAAACGAAGCCCCTCTGCGAGACCTCCTCAGTTTTTGAACTTGACAACATCAAAAACGGAGCAATTCTGCGAGACTTCCTTGATTTTTGAACTTGACAACATCAAAAACGGAGCAATTCTGCGGGACTTCCTCATTTTTCGTAGTTGACAACATCAAAGACCCAGCAATTCTTCGCGACATCCTTCAAAAATGGAAAGTTGAGTGCAGAGCTGACAACAGCCTCGTACCAATGCGTTTTGCGATTGTTCGACTCCACCTGTCTAAACTACTGCGCTTGCCACGAAAAAGTGATACCGGGTCATACGAAGTGTTGCACCTGTCACGCAAAATCATCTCAGCAAACCTGAAGATCTGATGCTCCAAAATGCAACTCCTCTCAGGAAATGACTTCGACATGTGCTTCGCGCCAGAACAGCGCGCACTTTTTCGACATCTCAACTCCCAAAAGTGGTTCGAGCATGGTGTGTTTTGTACATGTTCACTTCGAAATGTGCTTGGCGCCACAACGGCGTGCACTTTTTCGACATCTCAATTTCCAAAAGTGGTCCGAGCATGGTGTGTTTTGTGCATTTTGACTTCGAAATGTGCTTCGTGCTACAACGGTGTGCAGTGTGCACTTTTTCGACATCTCAACTTCCAAAAGTGCTCCGAACGTGAGGTGTTTTTAGCTTTTTCACTTGCAAATGTGCTTCGCCCCACAACGGCGTGCAATTTTTCATTTCTCATTTGGCCAGCTGGCTCCACACCCGCCGCTTTAGCGAGCCTACTTTCCGACCCTCGGGAGCCACACATCATTGGAAAAACGCCGTGTTTCGCGACTTTCCTACCTTTTCGCGCGCCAGGATCTTCTTTCTTCGGAGACATTCTCTTTTGTGATGTTCTTTCTTCTTCTCTTCTCCTCTCTTACTCTGCCCATCTCTGCTTTTCATCTGTCCATATTGTCGGCAGTTTGACTTCTAAACTTCCTTCGAATATGGATACACTATATATATATATGTATGTATATGTATATATTTTATGTTATATAGTGGTGTTTATAACTACATTTATATTTTTAAAAACAACACTATACAACATACCAATATAAAATAATGGAAAACATACAAACAAGGTATGTAGATGTATGGAGTATTCTGATGATGGGTCAAGTCTGACACGCGTTGACTGGAAAGTGCTAGCTGCTGTCAACTTTGCGCGGTAGTGCCTACTACTGTATGCCTGCAGATATATATTATTATATTATATTTTATATATATATATTATTATATTATATTATATATATTATATATTATATATACAGTATATATTATACATATATACCTTCGGACACGTAGAAAGATGGACTATTGCGCAGCCTCAGAAAGTGCAGGAGCATGTCATTTCGGTGCTGACTTTGCAAGTGCCAGTGTCCCATCCAGCCAGGGTTCCATGTCCCTACTGCCTGAGCCGTCTGCGGAGGCACAAGTGCCTTGATTCAGCAAATTTTCGTAAGGTTTCCTAGCCACAGTGGTTGAGTTCAGACAGGTTTCACAGTATTGAGTACACAGTAACCACAGTCGCGTGTATCTGTATTATGTTTTTTTTGCGAAGTATGTTTGCCAGTGGTGTCTGAGAAAATCCATCTGGTTTTGAATGGACGAAAGCATCGGTGGTCGAGTGGTGTTTATAGTGGTGCGCAGTACCAGTAGTACCGCACAAGTCGGTGGCGGAAGTTTCAAAAATAGGAAACCTATAGGAGAGATTGGTTGTTGTGAATCAGGGATGGCAGAGCGAATCCACTGATGGACCGAAAGGTGCTTGAGGTCTCCTCTCTTGCTCTTTCTTTCTCTCTCTTTCTCTGACTATCTACCCACCTACCGACCTATCTTCTATGTATCTGTCTATCTATCTACCTACCTACCTACCTATCTATCTATCTATCTAATGTATCTATCTATCTTTCTTTCTTTCTATCTATCTATCTACCTATCTATTTGTCTATCTGTCTATCTGTCTATCTGTCTATCTGTCTATCTATCTACCTATCTATGTATCTATCTATCTATCTATCCATCTATCTATCTATCTATCCATCCATCCATCTATCTATCTATCTTTCTATCTTTCTATTTATCTATCTATCTATCTATCTAACTATCTATCTATCTATCTATCTATCTATCTATCTATCTATCTTTCCATCCATCCATCTATCTATCTATCTGTCTGTCTGTCTATCTATCTACCTATCTATCTATCTATCTACCTATCTATCTATCTATCTATCCATCCATCTATCTATCTACCTATCTACCTATCTACCTATCTACCTATCTATCTATCTATCTATCTATCTAATCTCTCTCTCTCTCTTTCTCTCCCTCTCTTCCATCTGTCTATCTGTCTAGCTGTCTACCTGTCTATCCAACCATCTGTCTATCTATCTATCTTTCTATCTATCTATCTATCTGTCTATCTGTCCACCTGTCTATCTGTGGTGCAGTGTCATTCAGCGTAATGTAGTGTAGTGTAATGTAGTTGTAGTGTAGTGGAGTGTAGTGTAATGT